GCGGGATGTGATAGTACGGCTCCATTACTACCATATTAAGGAAGCCATCATGAGAGCGGCACGAAATACACCCCTACAAATTGAGGGACACCAGGTATTGTTTTTCCAGGACCTGGCCCCGAGCACTCTGCGAAAGCGACGAGAATTGAGACCGCTCACTCAGGCACTTACACGGAGACGGATCCGATATACATGGGGGCACCCGTTTAAACTCACAGTGCGAAGAAACAATCACACGCATACTCTTCACGACATCGCTGAAGCACGCAGTTTTGCAGAGCAGCTGGGCATACCCCTTGAGGATACCAATAACGATGGGGGGCTCAACTTGGCCTCCGCTTCTCCGACCCGAAGAGCCGATTCGGACCACCAACGACGCCACCCACCCACGGGAGATCCGAGCCCAGACGCTCGGGAATAACCGACGCCAATCAACGAATCACCTGCGCATGGCCAACTCCACCGGATTCCGGTGCACCGACAAGACCCTCAACACCTCAAGTACCCATGGACACTGAATCCCACACAACCAGGACTCTCAGGATCCCGACAGCCCGCTGACATGAGGCATCTTCCACCATCCGACGGACAGATAAGACTCTATTGGCCTCAATGTTTTCCTTCAAAATGCTTTGTTTGTTTTCTATTAAGCTTTTGCTGTAAAATTGCTCGCACACACCAGCACACACTGTAGGCCCTTGCGCATGCACGAAACACATTCCTAACAACAATACCTTCTACACAACGTACCTAAACTGGGGGGGGGGAAGGGCGGGAGGGGGGTACAGGGAGGTAGAGAAAGGGGAGATGACACAAAAAACAAAGAAAAAAGGCAAAAAAGAAAAAAGGGGAAAAAAAAAAAAAAAGCAACAAACTGTAGAGAAAAATGCACCACAAAACAAAAACGCAGGCAGACAGCCATCAACACGACATATTTGTCTTACGCAGCGTAATACAGGGAACTCACATGCCACCAAGGCCTGAGACCACCCACTCTGGCCAGCCACCGCCTTCAAAGACTAAGGCACTATATATCACAGCGAGAAAGTACAACTGAAGCGATAAGAATAGGCTAGGCAACAAATCATTAGAGGATACACCACTACCTACTGATACCCACATATAGCACGTACCTGAAGGGAATAATACTAGAGGTGGCAGGGCAAAACTAGCCCGCGGCATATGACACGGCAAAACACTTTTCTCTGAGATGTAAACATTATATTCTGTTATGTGCAACGGGGGCGCACTTGTTTTGAGAATTTTAATGCTTTTAAACGATCTTGCACTAGTCATTATTCTGCTTAATGTTATTCCAACTGTGATTCCAGTGTACTATATGTGGAGACAAGACTACCCCACAGGACGCCCCACCCCTTGGACACTAAGGGAAGACGAAGACTGACGCTAGAGAGGACGGCCTTACTATAAACCACAGCCTTCCAGAGCGACTGAGACTCCCGTAACACAGACCGACTAAGGGTACAGTACTCACACACACTTTACGCCTATTGGCGACATACACCTGGGGCCTTGCTCCTCCCCCTCCGGGCCTCCCTACCCCAGTGGGGGGTTGGCGGGGGGGGGGGAGGAGTGACGCCGGGGATACTGAGAGCTGGCAAGTGACACGACCAACCCACACCCCTACAAGGAATTGCAACAACTCCAACAACGGGCCTGTAGGCACCTCTGGCTACCTGCCACTACCCACCAACTCATCACCACACATACCCCTCACGCATACGGAGCAGTCAGGCGGACCACTCCACCACCTACTGGCAACGAGTAAGACCAGTAGCCGGGCCTTCCAGGGCCCATACTACCAATACCTCACCCTTGCACATTACCCCCCCTCCTTTCCACCACCCCCCCTCATCCTCCCTCCGACCCCATACCCCCCCCTGCCAATCCACAGTCGCGGCGCGGAGCCCCGGCTGGGCGCTCGGCCTCCAAATCATTGGACCCGCCAACGCACCACACAGACTGCGGTTGGACCTGAACCGGGGGGCACGACCGTTCTCATGCCACTATCCTTGAAATGCGTTTCCATTAACACCAAGGGCCTCAACACCCCCGCTAAGTGACATGGTCTACTACGCTGGGCACATAGGCAACATATAGACATACTGCTCCTGCAAGAAACACATTTCACACCCACGAGATCGTTCCCTCTCACCAACCGATACTATAAACAAAGCTACATGGCCAACTCCCCGGACACAAAAACGAAGGGGGTAGCAATTGTACTCAAAACCACATGCCCCTTAACAGATATCAGGAGCACAAGCGACCCCCAAGGACGTTATGTGACGATAGAAGGGAAAATTGGAGCAACACCATATGCTATAAGTTCGGTATACGCTCCCACTACCCCACACAATACGTTTTGGCTGCAATACGCTACACACTTACAAGCCTATGCGGGCAAACGCCTGATAGTAGGCGGCGACTGCAACGCTACACACATGCCAACCATCGATAGATCATCGCGGGGGACGGAGGCTCCGCAACCTTCCCGAAACGATACCCACTTTGCCCATTTCCTAGCCACGCAAACACTAGTAGACATTTGGAGAGCACAACATCCATCTACCCGAGATTACACCTTCTACTCGCACCCACACGCCTCATACTCACGCATCGACTACTTCTTACTCTCCCCAAATCTGATATCGCAGATAACTCACACCTCTATAGGATCCATATCGTGGTCAGACCACGCAGACATAACGATTATTATACGCCTACCAGACCTCAAAAGACCATGGACCTGGAAATTAAACCCACTGCTCCTTCATGACACACAAATCAGGCAATCAGTCGCTCAATCCATTGAGGACTACTTCGCCACAAACGCGGAATCAGCCAAGTCCCCAATCACGCTATGGGCGGCACACAAACCAGTGATCAGAGGCATTCTCATTAGCCTAGCGTCAGCCCATAAAAAAAAGAAGATACAGCAAATTACGGAGACACTGACGGAGCTACGAAAGCTCGAAACGAGCCACAAACGCGACCCACAGCCACGTACTCTGCGCGAACTCACAGCCGCCAGAGACCTCCTCAAACGACTAATGCACACGGATACAACCAAAGCCTTGATGTGGCTCAAACAAAAATACTATGAATCAGGCAATAAAGCCGATACCATGCTAGCCCGTCGGCTTAAAAAACGTTTAGAGGCCAAAAAAAATTTCATCTATACGTACGAGGACGGGCTCGATCAGCGACATACCTGAGCAGATCGGGGACGCGTTCCAACACTATTTCAAATCCCTATATAACCACTCACCACACCTCGGTCACGACTCTACGGCCTACCAGGAACGGCTAGACAATTACCTCCAACACATAACCTTACCTACCCTCTCCCAAGCCGCCAAACAAGCTTTAGAAGCAGAGGCGACAGTGGAAGAGATGGCATTAGCCCTCGGGGCTTGTAAACCTAATAAAAGCCCGGGTCCCGATGGGTACACTGCTCTCTACTACAAAGAGTTTAGCCCCCTACTCCTCAAACACCTCTGTGCCGTATTCAACGCTACCTTGCGAGGCGAACACCTTCCACAGGACATGACGATGACGAACATATGCTTACTCCCCAAACCTAACAAAGACCTCACGGAACCCGAACATTATCGGCCCATCTCTCTACTAAACGTAGATCTTAAAATCATGAGCAAGATAATGGCCAACCGAATCAACCCGTACCTAGACAGATTAATACACCCAGACCAAGTGGGCTTCATTCCCAATAGGCAGGCATTAGACAATACCCGCAGAAACATAGACCTCATATGGCTCACTCATCACCGCAAACTCCCTACCACCGTGATCTCCCTAGACGCCGAAAAGGCGTTTGACCGCCTACTCTGGCCCTTCCTCTACCGCACACTAGTACATATGAACTTCCCGAGCGCCTTCATAGCGTTCCTGCAGGCAACATACCACTCCCCTCAAGGAGCCCTCCTGCTCCCCAACATCACACCACCCAGATTCCCGATATCAAATGGCACACGACAAGGGTGCCCACTATCGCCCCTCATGTTCGCCCTATCGTTAGAGCCTTTACTCCAAGCAATCCGAAACAACCCTCAGGTAGAGGGAGTAACTATCAGAGGCGAAAAATACACGGTGTCTGCTTACGCAGACGACATTCTCCTAACACTAACCAACCCGGAACAATCCATAGAAGCTCTACTGAAAACCATACACGACTACGCATCGGTGGCAGGCTACAAGTTGAACTTGGAAAAGTCAGAAATCCTGCCCATCCAGCTCACCGACCCACAACTAAACGCTCTAAAAAACAAATACCCTTTTCGAATATGCCCCACAGCCATAACCTATCTGGGGATCCAGTTACCGGCAGACTTAACCACCTTATATGCAAAAAATTACACACCGTTACTCCGCATCGCACACAGCGATCTGCAAAAATGGGCGAAGCTGGGAGTGTCCTGGCTGGGAAGGGTGACGTCTGTAAAGATGACGCTGCTTCCCCGATTGCTATACCTCTTTCAGACGCTACCCGTCCCTCCCAACAAAGCTGACCTTAAAACCCTACAAACGGCGGTCGACAAATTTATCTGGAACGGACGTAAACCTAGAGTCAGTAGGAACACACTCTACGTCCCCAAAAAACGTGGAGGCCTCGGGTTACCACACTTCTCACACTACTATGCAGCTGCACAACTAGCCCAGATCCAGCACTGGCATGCCCCACCACAAACCAAACGATGGGTGGATATCGAACATACAATCTTTGGCAGAGATCACCCATCCCTCTATATGTGGGTCCCTAAACCACATCGACCTCTTCCCCCCCCCAACTGCCCCAGCCATCACTCATTCCTTAGACCTATGGGACAGACTGCAGGATAAATTCGATTTGTCCTCATACCTCTCCCCAATGACCCCGATTTGGAGGAACAAACTCTTCCCACCAGGGCTCACTCCAGTCCACTTCGCCCAGTTCGACCAAAGAGACATTGTAAGACTCAGCCACCTATATCAGAACAATAAGGTAATTCAATACTCGGAAATCAAAGACGCTGATACTCTCACGGCATTTGACCACTTCCGATACATTCAGCTGCGCAGCTTCGCCTCCACCCCGATGATCTATCAAGCAGGCACGGCCACATTCACTAGCTTTGAGAAAGACTGCACACACCACCCACTTAGACGAGGTCAAATCTCAGACCTCTACACGACCCTGGTCACTCACCCCACCCAAATAGCTTTGCCATATATAGCGGCTTGGGAAAAAGACCTAGGACCCCCGGAGGATAACACTGACTGGGCAGATATATGGGAGGCAACGGCCTCAATCTCTATCTGCGTAACACATGCGGAACAAGCATACAAGATGCTATTCCGCTGGTACCTTACCCCCCACCGCTTAGCAATCATCCACAAAACACCTAACACCTGCTGGAAGCTGTGTGGAGAACAGGGGACGTTCCTCCACTGTTGGTGGACCTGCCCCAAAATTAAACCCTTATGGCTCAGCGTCACTACACTACTCACGAAACTCCTACACAAACCATACCCTCTGGACCCATGGGCCCTACTGCTCTCCAAACCTTTAGAGACCCTGACCAGAGCAGAAAACAAGCTTAGCGCACGCATTGCCCTGGCAACGAGGCGAGCAATAGCGGAATTATGGTCGACAAACCGACTACCCTCCCAATTCTTTATAATGAAAAAAATACAAGACCACGTACAAATGGACAAACTTACATCCCAAATCCACGATACGCCCAAACACTTCCACAAAATATGGGACCCATGGCTGGAGGGGGACACCTCCCTACCTTGGTAAACATACACATAACTCCCGCAGGCACAAACAACTCGCAGACGTAGATACCCTCAATCACTTATAGAGAACCTACTCCCTAAGCTGACTCTCTTAAGCCCGCTCGGCCCGTCACCCAGGGGGACGTGCCGGGCTGGGACTCCGTGCCGCGACACTTCCTAAATGCCCACCCTCACCCCCCCCCATATTGGGGAAGGCCCCCCTACACCACCACCCATAGCCCTAGTACCTCTACTCTCACCTTGCACAGGATCAATAAGCCTCGGAACTTGCATCCCTCTCTTCTCTGTGGCAGGCACACCCTGAAATACATGAACCTTGGCGAGGACAGATGAACCCATAGTAGGGCACTGCATCACTCCGAGGAATCTCACATCTGCAAACAACCCATGCCACAAATTAACCGTACGATGATATAGTCCAAAAAGACAAACTACCACCGGGAATGATAGACAGAGCTGACAGACATAAAAACAGGGATACCGAAGCCGACCGCACGGTGGACACCCATACGGTAGCAGAACAGCCCCACAGGACTCATACTGGGGTAAACCGCAGCAAACATATACACCCATCCCCACATACTAGAGTTAAGCATCACAGAGGAGTGACAGAGACCGGTTCTGACCACCTTATCTGACCCCAGCTCGGGTCATCCTTACATATGCAATAGGCATCTGGGTAATTGCCATCGCAGAGAGAGGGATGGATGGAAATGAACCATTGTATAACTGTGCAATACCTTTCTGAACCCCCCAGCAACTTAATTTTTGTCTCCCATACCCCACATTATATGTACCACACTAAACTGAGTAAAATGAAACACAAATAAGGAAGGTAAAAAGACAAACCATCACAACTAGATGGTAAATCCAACACAATGAACCGATACGTTAGCCAAGTTCTTACATCACCGTTAGACTGTTCTTGTTCTTTTTCTTTTACTTATGTCTATCTGTGTATAATTCTGACAAAACCAATGACAGCCAGATCCCAAATGCAATTGATGCACATGAAATGATACGAACACCGCATATACCTCCTTTTGATAACATTTGACCTGTATTGTAACCACAGTGCGGCTTCTGCGTAAGCCATATGACTGCATAGTGCAATACTTTTTTCACTGTCATTGAAAAATAAAGAATTATAAAAAAAAAGAGAACCTCCAGCAAGAAAGAGAACATAAATAAAATATATGAACATAAAGTATAATATTCAAATAACAGGCAGTATAATTAGAATTGACTTACCTGGGAGGCAAGCAGCAAAGAAAGAGGAAGTCTGAGGAGCTTAAGTACCCTTTGCTATAGATATCTTTATTGTGATTGGTTGATTTTTACCTATCTTGTTAACCGTTTCTTTGCTGTTGGGAGGTTTGAGTAAAGAAAGTAAAGCAAATATTTGCCTCCTGTCTTTCCATAAAATTTGGGCTTAACTAAGAACAACAGTGTACCCTCATTGCTCCCCCTAAGTAGGGTGTGTGTGGCGGTACTGTGGTGGTTGGCTGTGTGTAAGGTGTATTGTGATAGAATTTATCTTGATTCCAAGGCTCAAGCTTATAGGTGTCATATAATGATATCCTATATTAAAAGTGGCTAACTTGGACTCAGGAAAGGAAATGCTTGATGCTTAACACAACACTTAAGACCATATATGCCTAGTTCCGTGAGCAGAGCGCCCCCACCTGAGATGTCTCTTCTCTAATCTTTTTGTTCTTTCTTACCTTGGAACTTATTTGTTATGTGTACATGACGTTCATCCTTATGTCTTATCTGTACTCCCTTCCTATTACTGTTCTAAGAGTATTTCCACATAAGCACTTACTTTTTAATGTATAAAACCCAGCTGATGAATAAAACGGCAGAGGCTTATTTTGAATACCAACAGGTGTCTGGTGTCTAATTCTCGCTTCTCCAATTGCACTTGTAATAATAATTAGGTATTCCTCTGAATATAACAAGGATCATTATTTGGATCCACAACAGTATCCAGACGGCTGAATATAATAGTGTGTGAGGGCTGGCTGACTGATTGATTGGAGCTGTCAAAGTGTGACTGCATGAGATTTGAGTGTCACGATGACTAAGAGCGTGATTGTGGAGTTGGATTGTGTTTGTGAGATTGGCAGAGTGTGATCATGTGCATAACAAAAAAAAACTACTGTTTATCCCCCACCTGTTTACGTTATGACACAGAGGAGGAACAATCCCTAGTGGGCTAGCAAGAGTATGATCACTGGTGGTCCCTTTTGTGTTGTCTGCATTTCTAGTGATCCAGTGAGGAACGCTCTTCCAGCCTAGCGCTCACTCAATGAGTAAAGCGTTGCAATGGTAACCTGGCAGCAGCGATCTGATTCACTGAGCACCAGAACAACTTAAAGTGCTCTCTGCAATCATTTTGTTACTAGATTGCTGAACTGGCAATATACTAAACAATTTATTTTACATGGAGGCGAGTCTGGCCTGGACCACCTTGAGCAGAAATCCAGGACCTGTTCACAATAGCAACCTTTGCAACTCTGGTAGTTCTGCGGCTTCCTCAGAATTGCAATGTCACAGTGGAAATGCTTCCTCAATGAGCATCAGAGCGTCACAGTGAGGTGATGGATGCTTAATCAGCATTTGTCTGCCAGAAATTGCCAGGAGAAGGCATGATGAGAAGGATGCTGCCTAAACAGCATTAGTATCACGGTGAGTACTCTGGCTAATCAGTTTTAGAAAGTAACAGGAAGGACAACGCTACCAAAGCAGCATTAGTGGTGCAGTGTGTACCCCGCTTATTCAGTGCTAGAGCCACAGGAAAGAGGACATTGCCTATTCAGTTTTGAAGTGTCACAGCAAGGACACTGTAAAGCTGATTAGGCAGCATTCTTCCCAACTCTTACACTAATGCTCCTTAAAGTGTCATAAGAGGACGATGCTGCTTAATCTGCATTAGTGGCACAATGAGGGGGACGCTGCCCACAGCGAGGATGACACAGCCTTAATCAGCATTGGCTTTACAGTGAGGAGGCCACTTTAAAAACAGAAATTGTTTCTAATGGGAAACTTAATCAGCATTAATGTGTCACAGTAGGGAGGAAGCGGTTCAGTTAGTTTTAGAATGTCAAAATTAGAATCTAATATCCCACAACATTGAGGTATAAGATTTGTATGGGTGGCCAGACCTAAAGAAGGGGTGAAGTTCATCACTGCTGAATTCCATAATGGACAGGTGCACCTGTAAAAAGGTTATGTTGGCCACTGAGGGAGCATGCCTGGCCGGCTGCCAACCTACAGGACCTTGCAGAGAGTGCAGCTGAAAAGATGTCTGCATGGACCTAGTGATGGACCATCTAATGATGCATGGACCATCTAATGATGCACTTGCATGGTGCTGCCTGATTACAGCTCCCTGGTGTCATCGATTGTGGCAAATCAGAGAATTAAAATGGGACTACCCCACTTAAATCAGGACTGTTGGCATGGCCTGGGAAAGCCTTGCAACTTAAAGGACCACTATGGGCACCCAGACCACTGCAGCTCAATTAAGTGGTCTGGGTGCCAGTTCCATCTTGGATTAACCCTGCCTGCTGTAAACATAGTTTCAGAGAGGGTTAATCCAGCCTCTATTGGCTGTGTCATTAACAGCCACTATAGGCACTTCCGCGCTTCTCACTGTGATTTTCACAGTGAGAAGACGCCAGCGTCCATAGGAAAGCATTGAGAATGCTTTCCTATAGACTGGCTGAATGCGCGTGCGGCTCTTGCCACGCATGCGCATTCAGCCAATGACGTCCAAAGGAGGAGAAGAGTCCCCAGCGCCGAGGGAGCCTGGCGCTGAAGGAAGGTGGGTGTTTAACCCCCTTCCTCTCCATTCAGCCCGGCGGGAGTGGGACCCTGAGGGTGGGGGCACCCTTAGGGCACTATAGTGCCAGGAAAACGAGCACTATTGTGGTCCTTTAACTCCATGAGGGTGATAATGCAAGAGATAGATAAAGTCCCCAAAAATCTCTCCCAGTGAGTGTGATTGAGATCAGGCTAGGCTACTCAACTTTTCCTACAATGTAATGCAATCTGCTACAAGTGAAACGAGTTATCACAAACCTTAATTATTTTCAAGAAACCATCAGATGGACAAATAACGATTATTCACTAAAACTGGCATTGGAGAGAATTGGCAAGAGAATTTCAGAGGTTAGAACAAACTAGCTGAACTGGAAAAACAGGTGAATTGGAAATTTAGTACAGCTTGGTTAGTTTGTCATAAACGTTGCAATTTCTTTTTCAATTCTCAACAATTTGCCGTTTTGAGACATATGGCTAGTCTACCATTTGATCTACCAATTACTGTAAGTACATCATATAGGTCAGTTCATTTAAAGCTACTTCGGATTTAATGTACAATATCTAAAAAAAAAAAAATATGAAAGATCTATCCTAAACAGAGCGCAGAGGCAATTGTAAACTCTGCCCTCTGTCTAAGATTCTACTTGGATCAAAATACAATGAAACCAGAAGTGATTGTCATAACACACACCTAACAGCTGTTTATTTTGTGTTTTCAAGCTTAGGCATTATAAAGAGCCTATACAGGTGTTAAGAAGTAGGAGTAAAGACTATTTACATGTATTTGATCCCTTAGTGGTGGGGTTACATTTTATTTGTGGGTATTTTTTCAAAATAACAGAAAGTGGCATTATGCTGTGTGCGAGTTTGTTTAAGACAGGGGATTAAAAACAACTTTGACATATTTGCTGTTCTAAAATTAGGTACATGTAAACATTTATATATTTAAAAATCTCATAATATAGTAATTCTTATTGATTTCTACTTTATTCAAACTTAAACGTTCGCTATGCCAGATTACTTGGGACACATTCGTCTTAGAGGTAATATACTTGTAACTAATGAAAATTCAACGTATAATAAATGGGCTCTATATTGGTGCCACTCTAGACAGCCTGCATTAATAACACAGATGCCAAGTATCTAATAGAAGTAATATCAGCACCAATTGCAAAATGACAGCAACTGAAACTGCTCTCACCTTCTTTGTTAGCAGTGAGGAGATCACTCAGACGTGAAATTGGCACCAGGCACACTGTGGCACAATCTAAGGAGCTAGAGTAGAGAGGTGCAAGTCAGTCCATCCAGGACAAAAGTAGTAGATACCAAGGTGCCAATCATAAAAGTTGCATCTTTTGCGAACAAAGAAAATATGTAAAAAGGTTCTATAGAGAAATGGCTGGAAGATCTTTAAAACAAAGAAGTTTCAACATGATATAAAGCTAGGCTAGAGAACAGATTTAGATGCACTCTCTAAAGAGTTTTCAATCTGTTCAGGCTTTTGTGGCTGTGCAGAGTTTAAGCTGCTTTAATAATACATATAAATTCTCCAGGTACAGGTTATAGCGGCAAAAGACAATCATATACTGACCAGATAAAGTATGCAACAGAAAACAAGCAAAAGGCATTTCATATACAACATTCAGAATTCAATTGTATACAGCAAGTTAAAGAGAATACAAAAATAACAACTTTATACACCATTACATTCTTATCTTTAACAGAAATGATCATAATAAAATGAAATACTAAATTATAAAAATGTAATGTATTATATTTTAATGTACGGTGTTTTATTTCCCCTTTGACCGTTCTTCCTTATCGCGAGCAAAGACTTAAAACCGATCAACGCGATGAATTGCTCATTGTTTCACACATCACTGCAGCACTGTGCACAGTCATTCCATTTACACCCCACTGCAGTATCATTGGAGAATGGGGTGAGCTACGGGGAAGTAGATTTTATAATCTACAAGTTTGCTGTTACATTCACCAGTAGACTTGTGCACAAATGCATTTCAGATGGTATGAACAAATCAAATGACTTTTGCTGATCAAACATGGCAGCATTTACTTATGGGTTAGCTTCTCCCCTCGCAGCAGAAAGGACATGAAACAAAACTATGAAATTGGTATAAATAAAGTCATCCCCTCTCCTTCAGGCAGTCTTATTTCCTATCCTTCACCGCAGTTTACAAGGAATCTGCTTAACCAGGCCTTGATTTTAACGTTATGCTCACCATTCCAATATTATTGCAGGCCAAGTCAGCGTGCAGCTTCTAATATATGAAGACCCAGCAAACAGCACAGGTTGCCTACCTGGGTACCCCCTTTAGTGACCGAGGGGTTCTGGTCTAACTCTCTCCCTAGGGTGATGACAATGGTCCCCTGGATATATGAGGCCCGGCCAGGGCTAAGCCTCTTTCCCTGAAGACCCAGTAAACACTAAGGTGACTACCTGGGTTTGCCTTTTATGAATACCACCATCTCTGTCTTAAATCTTCCCCACTAGTGAGGACATATTGGGTACAGATGGAAGTCTATAGTTTAAACAGTTAAGGCTGTCAGTTGTTCAAATCCCCATTTCCTGTTTAAATACAGGCCTGCAGCAGTTCATCTGTCTCTATAGCTGTTTACATGTTTTCCCCTCCATCAGGTAAGTGCATTCGTAATTTAGATTATAGGCACCTGGGTTTCTGTTTATTCAGTTCTTCCCAGTACCTTACATTGGACTTTATTCTAGCAAATTGGTCACAATTAGGAGGTTTGTGTTGATTGTTTTTTAGTAAATGTATAAATCCAATTATGCATTTTCCAAAGAGTGCTGCTAATGGATATCCGTGTTGTATAAAGTCTGCCTGAATACCACAGTGCTGATGTAAGAGAAAAGGCCAATACCCACAGTAAGAGAAAGCTTCCCTGGGTGGCTTATTAAAGTACGCACTCGTATACATGTGTTTAAAGCCCCGACGCAAAGTCCACAAAGACACTTGTTCCTATCAAGGCATGTGGCATTGACTACGGTTACCTGTGCATTTTAGCACGTAAGCAGGCTTCTTTCAGAGCGTGGAAGACAATATATTGTTTGTATTTTCTTATCATTCAGCATAAGAGAACAAAAAAGCCTCTCTGAATGTACTGGTGTAAAGACACAGCCTCGGAATATATGTCCACTATAGGTTCCATGTATGAGTCACTTTGAGCACATAGCCCCTGTATATGTGTCCACTATATGCTCCATCTATGTGTTTGTGTGAAGTACAGCCCCTGTATATGCTCTATGTATGAGTTTGTATAAAGCACAGCCTCTGTATATGCTCTATGTAGGAGTATGTGTGAAGTACAGCCTCCATATATGCTCTATGTAGGAGTTCGTATAATGCACAGCCTCCATATATGCTCTATGTATGAGATCATATAAAGCACAGCCTCCGTATATGCTCTATCTATGAGTTTGTATAAAGCACAGCCTCCGTATATGCTCTATGTATGAGTTTGTATAAAGCACAGCCTCTGTATATGCTCTATGTAGGAGTTTGTATAAAGCACAGCCTCCGTATATGCTCTATGTATGCTCCGTATACCGTATTTTTCGCTCCATAAGACGCACTTTTTTTCCCCTCAAAAGTGAGGGGAAATGTCTGTGCGTCTTATGGAGCGAATGTGAAGAATTACTTACCTGTCTTGGAGCGTGGGCCGGCTTCACAGCGCGCTCCGCGGTCCGGGAACTTCTATTTCAGTGGCACACTTCCTTTTCCCGCCGGAAACCGGAACCTGAAATAGAAGTTCCTGGACCGCGGAGCGCGCTGTGAAGCCGGCCCACGCTCCAAGACAGGTAAGTAATTATGGGACAAGGGGAGGGGGAGACACTATGGGACAAGGGGAATGGGACACTATGGGAGAAAGGGAGGGGAGGAGACTATGGGACAAGGGGAGGGAAGGAGACACTATGGGACAAGGGGAGGGGGGGAGACACTATGGGACAAGGGGAGGGGGACACTATGGGAGAAAGGGAGGGGAGACACTATGGGACAAGGGGAGGGGAGGAGACACTATGGGACAAGGGGAGGGGAGGAGACACTATGGGACAAGGGGAGGGGGACACTATGACACTATGGGACAAGGGGAGGGGAGACACTATGGGACAAGGGGAGGGGGGACACTATGGGACAAGGGGAGGGGGAGACACTATGGGACAAGGGCAGGGGGGGACACTATGGGAGGGAAAGTGCACTATGGGACAATGGGAGGGGGGACACTATGGGATCAGAACACTAATGGACAAGGGGAGGAGGAGTTAAAGAACACTATGGGACAGGGTAGGAGGGGTTAACAATCACTATGGGACAGGGTAGGAGGGGTTAACAATCACTATGGGACAGGGTAGGAGGGGTTAACAATCACTATGGGACAGAGGAAAGGGGGGTTAAAGATCATTATGGGACAGGGGAGAAAAAAAAATATTCTGAACAAACTGTCCCATGGTAAGAAACACTATGGAACAGTTTGTTCAGAATATTTTTTTTTCTGGGTTTCCTCCTCTAAAAACTAGGTGCGTCTTATGGTGAGGTGCGTCTTATGGAGCGAAAAATACGGTATTTATCCACTATATCAGTTGTTTCCAACATGTGGCCTGCAGGACATCAAGGCGCGGCCCACGTGACCGCATGTCTAACTTGAAGCATCGTCGGGGAACTGCTGACCGCACATGTAACTTGAAGCAGTGCAGGGAACTACGTTTCAGCACAGAGCGCCACAGATCGTGTATTGCGTATAATCCCTCCCCTATCGTGCACATGAGATTATGTGCAATCAGTGGGAAGGAAGACATGTGCACCAGGAAACTACATGGAGGAGCATTTCCATCCAGACCCCACAGCCCTGTATAAAATAAAATAAATAAAAAACAGGGTAGTTTGGCAGGTTTATAGCTTACTCAATCTTAGTGTGCACCATCCAGCCCGACACCCACAGTGTGGTCTAGAGTGTCTGAAATCCAGCCCAATAATGTGAGTTACTACTATACAGCTATGTGATGCACACTACATATAATTGTTAATTGTACTGTTGTGTGGCTCTGCAATACACACTACATATAATTGATCATTGTACTGTTGTGAAGTCTGTCATACGCTCACATCCTACATATTACTATGAGAAAATATTTCTTGTAGCTGCCATAAATGGTAACTTTTTCTTGCACATGTTGCAAGCTTCCAGATCATCTTGTCACGCCCTGACAACTGATAAATGGCTTAAAAAATTTTTACCAAAGGAAAAAAAAAAATCACAACCATAGAACTCATGACTGCGGAATGTCCCAGTAGTAAAAAAACTAGCGCCACTTCCAGGAATGCACAGATGGGAAGTCTTGCGGGGTTTCCCTGGGTCTGCTGTGCACTCTTCGAAGAGAGTCGAAAGAGTGGGAGAGGTACAGGTTGCTGTATATAACAGCCCTGAAGTCATTTTGCATTGTATCAATGTATTGCAATTAAATACAGCACTAGCTCCCAGTTGCATGTATGGTTGGCTATATGTGTTAATTTTATGAGATGTATGGTAGTCATTGAACTAGTTTAACAGATTAACCCAGTTAGTGATTGCTGCAGCTCAGGGACACAGTGTAAAGCTACACCCCCACACATCCAGCCCCCTATTCCTCTCTGGCACTGAGAGTAGTAATAGTAGTGATGGCAGCTCAGCCTGATAGAACACTGGTGTCTGCAGAGAGATCCTTCAAGGTCGGTTACCATGGCAGCAGATCGCCTTCCGCCTGTTCTGGAAGTAGTGCTGTTGCTAAGCCCAGTGATTGAGGAGGCCCCGAGTTGCGGGGACATGGCGGAGGATGAGGATGGTTTGTCGAGGAGAGGTTGTTGTTCCTCCCGGATCGCCATGTGAGCTACTTTCAGCGCAGCCTGGAAGCCCTGCCCGAGCAGTGTGCCTCCCTGGAGACCAGCAGGTACCAAGTCCAGCCAACATCCCAGGAAATGGACACACTGTGTGCCAGCTACTGTGACTGCTCAGTGTGTGTCCGAGCCAGGGCCAGCCAGACACTGTCTGTAGTGCTATGAGAGCCTTCTATGGCAAACATACAATACCTGTAGTGCTATGGGAGCCCTGCATACAAGCCATATACTGTTTGTAGTACTATGAGAGCCCTGCATGCCAGCCATACAATGTGTGTAGTGCTATGAGAGCCCTGCATGCCAGCCATACACTGTCTAGTGCCATGAAAGCTCTGCATGCCAGCCATACAATGTCTGTAGTGCTATGGGAGCCCTGCATGCCAGCCATACAAGGTCTGTAGTGCTATGGGAGCCCTGCATGCCACCCATACAAGGTCTGTAGTGCTACGAGAGCCCTGCATACCAGCAACACACTGTAGTGCTATGGGAGCCCTGCATGCCAGCCATACAATGTCGGTAGTACTACGAGAGCCCTGCATACCAGCAACACACTGTAGTGCTATGGGAGCTCTGCATGCCAGCCATACACTGTCTGTAGTGCCAGTGTCCATAGAACATTCTGCCTCAGAATATTAGAAACATTGTGTGAAGTTCTATGTCAGAATGTTCAATATGTCTGCCTGTTGAATGCACCTGTAGAGAGAGAGCATGTGCCATGCATATTAAACGAGAAAAGTATTGTGGGAGGGCAGTTATAACACATGTCTGTTGCATTATCCAACTGATTTTCTTGTAATGTGCATAAAACGTGTGCCTGCTGAGGAAACTTGTATTTAATTGTAGTGTGACATTACAGGGGGAAAAAGTCAGTTATCGTTTCAGTTTTGGCCCAGAATTTTCATTTCGGTGCATCCCTAGTAATAACTACTAGCCTTGTTCCCAATTAATGACAAAACCTCCCTCTGAATTGTCAAAATTTCAATAAGAATGGATTGAACCAACATCAAACTATGCCCACCTTGAAGACCCAGTGTCTCTAGACTGTTGACGACAAATCTACAAATCTGGAAAATATCCAGAAATTTCTACCTATGTTACCAATGTTTGTGTTGACTTGGCTCTGTGAAAGCACATTCTCATTTACAAAGCTACTAAAATCTAAGCTGAGACACACATAAAATGATGTCAACTTTGAGTCCAAACTAAGATGTGCCCTCACTGAATACACTCCAGAGTTCTCAAACATTGTTCTGTCAGTTAGTTACCAGTACTCTCAATAAATTTTGTAAACTTTTTTAGTTTTAATTGGCTTCACTTTTTTGTTAATGGTTTGTGGACTCACTTTACTATTTAAATTATTTTGAATTGTTAGAATGATATATAAAAGCTGGTCTAAAAAGTGTTTGTTGACTGCTTTTGCATTATTACCAAATTAACCCGGTATTAACATGCATTAAAAGCACATAGATTTCTGATGTAGTGGCCCACTGCAGAAAAAGCGTGGTCATCCCTGCACTATATGCTCTATGTATGAGTTAATGTGAAGACACAATCTCAGTATATGTATCCACTACATGTGCTATGTATTTGTGTGAAAACACAGCCACAGTATATGTGAATGATATAAAGAGACAGCCTTAATTTCATCTTTGTGTATGAACTGTTGCGAAGATTAAGTATATATGTCAAATACAATGTATGTGAGTGATAAAATCTATATTAAGAGCTGCGAAAGCACAGCCTCAATTAATCGGATCCATATAATCTTAGTATATGTGCTGGTGTGGAAACAATGTCACTATATATAGCAGAGATAGTCTCTGTATGATGTACTATTGAAACACAGCCTCCATATATGTGATGGTTATCTCTGTGCTTTTAAGCCTCACCATCAATATATGAGAATGATATCTATGTATGAGGTTTAAACACATCCTCGGTATATGTGATTAGTATACGGTGTGTGCAAGATGGCGTTTGTAACGAACGCTGGTATTACAGATACCCGTTCGCCTATTTTCTCCCGAACTGCTAGAGCCGGAGTTATTATAGCTCGCAATTCGGGTGTTGATTAGAACGTTTTTCCAGATGAATTACAGCATCCAGGTATATTCTCTCAGCAAAGTAGACAGATACCCAAACATCCGCCTAAACTAGATGAAGGGTATAACAGGAATATTTTATTCAGGCTAACCGCCCGGTTAATATGCACTTAATGTACAGGGTTTACGTTGACATATTCCAGGGGCATTCCTCACTGGACCTGAGAGGGGACAGTGACAAAATACATTCTGCAAGTATATTGGCTCTCAGGTCCAGGATACTCCTACATACAATAATATAAGCCTTCCCCTGTACTGGGGGGATAATGGAGTCAAGCACTATAATAAACTCAATTATCTCCAAAAAAAATACATTTCCACAAAACTCAGAAAGTACCTCAAATTCCAAGTAAACCCCACAAAAGTCATATCCCCTGATAACTCCGATCTGGGTGACCAACATATTCAAAAATCAACCACATCGGTTCAAGAGTTACATGGAGGTCTTAATTTGACTGACCGCACACGATGCTCCTGCCCAGAAATAGTTCCATGAAATTGGGCTGTGTGGTTGGTCTATTTCAAAAAGTACAAAAAAAAACCCGAATAAATCCATGAACGGTTCCCCTGGCTCATAGGTAACATTTGTTCCCCTACTTTGTGGGAAAAGTGAATGAGCCATGGGGTGGTCGGTGTTCTGTAGTTTTATCTATCGAACAGGAAAGAACAAAAGTAACGAAATAACAGGGGTAGTTTTTTCACAGCGTTATTATACAATCCCAATGTATATACACAGCCTTATGTGTTTAGTATATGCAGCTGATATAAGATCTGTGTACAAGTTGATGAGAAAATATAGCCCAGTTCCACCAAAATAAGTGTACTGTTGCACTGGGTAAGTACCCATTACAAAATGTGGATTCTTTACTCAGGTTTTCTAAATGAAAAGGAGTCCAAGGTATGTACCCCATAATGTTGTTAGTCGCCTAGGGTCCTGATAAATATTATGTGCCTGTTTAAACTACTGTGGACTTAATTTTGGATAGTGTGACGAATTGAACCTCGTCACAGGTGCTTGGAGGGGCTTGCTGGCCAGTCTCTTACCCACCGACT